CGTAAGGGGCGGCATTCTGTCCATTCGTTGGGGCGGCAGAGTCCGGGCAGATTTTTTTTTTTTTTTTGTGCTTCGGCAGTTCGGATGGCGGCAGTCCGAGCTTGGGGCAGCAAAAATGGTAGAGCCGGCCCTGCTTGAGAGGGAATGGATAAGGGTAAGTATGGGTGTAAAAAGTGAGTGATAGAACATAGTGGTGGAGAGATAAGGAAAGGGTAGCTAGCCAAGTGAGCAAATGAAAAAAATAAATAAAAATAAAACCAGTTAAGAATAGAAAATCCAGAGAAAGCAGGAGAGAGAAAAGGAAAAGGAAATAAGGCAGCATTTGGAGTGGGGCCCAAAAGGGGATTACTCAGTGGGCTGTCTCGGGGTCGAGTTTCTGAGGTTCCTGCTTCTGCATCTTGTTTTGGGCACTGTAAATCCTGGCTGCATTCCTGAGCACAGATTCAGTGCAGCATTGAGCTCCCATACTTGCCACCCTCTACCCGCAACTTGCACCCAAGGGCTGCATTTCTCTGCTGCTTGTGTTGAAAAGACACCAAATAAATCTAATTCATTTATATTGGTAAAAAAATGTATCCCTTACTTTAAATTAATCTAGACTACCATAGGTCTCAAGAAATGCCTTAGTTGCAGCCAGCCTGGGCAACACCCATTTCTCTATTCCTCCTCTCTTTTGGTCATTGTAATTTTCACACTTTTAATATCTGTGATCTCAGCATCAACAAATGTTGCATGAGTTTAGAGAGTCGTGAAAATTGGAGAGATTCTGTAAAAGCCAGATTTTCAGTGCAAAAGCCTCAGGTTAGGCAAGCGTTTGAGTATCCAAAGTTTCTAGTTGAATTCTGCAGTTGGTTTCTTACAGAAATGTCTTCTGATCGTATATGAATGCCATCTAATGGTTGTTACAATTACAGCAACTAGTAGTCTCTTGCACAGGAAATGCCAGTTTTTACTTCAATAACCAGGATCCTTTAGCAGGAAGTTAGGTGTGGTCTGTTGAAGGAAAATTAAAAAAAAAGGACATGATGGAATTTTAGCTGCATTCTTCATGATGTCGTTCCAAATCCACACAGGTGCAAGATTCTATACTGGTAATGCATTTTTTTAATTGTCACCTATAGTGTTGAGAGAGGATTCTGTCTTTTTCTATCATTAACAATAAAATCTGTAAGGATTTTGCAGTAGTACCACTTTCATTTTCATAATTAACACTTCTGCTGCCACCAAACTGTACATGTGTTCCAACAGCAATTTTCTACAAAACATCCATAATAGGATGCACCAGGTGAATTTGACTGCAATAGAAGAGCGTGTTTCACAGATGTACTTGCATAAGTTGCAGCATGCCTGTGTGTGTGTGTTGGAGGAGATGGTTATGTATATGGTGAGGACAGAAGAATGGAGAATTAGACATGGTGTTAGCGTCAATTCAGATAGCTCTGAAAACATGAAGTTGCTGCAGCTGTGGTGGAATCGGACAAGCCTATGTGTACTTAGTGGGGAAATAAAAAACAGAGCGTGCAGGAAAATTCAGATTGTCGCATCATTTTAAGTTGATAATTGCTTTTTTGGTATATCATCTGGCACTGAAGCTGTTAATCTTGTATTACATCTGCTGTTTTATTACATGGATAATATAATTTGCCCATTCAGATAAAAAAATCTTGGGGAAATTATCAAATGCACAGATTACATTCATGATTTCGGATCATAGTATCTCTGCATTGGAAATATTTTTCATTTGTCATTTTTGGCAGAAGTATAAGGTGGCTTTAAAAGAAGATGGTTCTGCTCTCAGTTCTGAAGATTATGCAAAATATACACAATTTAAAGATAGCAACAGAAAATAAAATGTCTAAGAATGTTTAGTAGCGAAGACCAATTTGGATTTAACACAGAAATTCTTTCAGGACATGATATGTTACCAGGGAGGGGATTTACGTTCAGGTACCTAAACCTGGTTCCTTGCTCCCTAATCTGTGAAGCCAACATGCTTGTCCCTGAAAAGAGGGAGCATTCCTCTGGCTGATGCTTTCAGTGTCAATGATGGGATCCTGAGGAAGCCATGTCCACACCTCCTCACAGAGGGAAGATTGATCTGACATAAGACCTTTCATGGTGGTAGTGTTAAAAGGGCAATTGTGCTGGATGCTCCCACCCGACACCACATAATAAACACTTTTTTAACTGTTAATTTATTTCAGTGAGTGTGGGAAAAATCCTTTTATACTACCCACTAACTATCTCATTCACTAGAATGGTCACAACATTTTCCGGGGAGGGGGGAAGAAAAGAAACAATTTTTCTACTTACTTTTAAAATTAATGTATACACTCTGTATAGCTGCCAATTCATCACTTTTATAAGCAATACATTAATTTTAAACTAAATTTTTAAAGATTTGCTACTTTTCCAGACATCTAAAGAGACCAAATGAAAAGTTAAATGCCCTGTCTTGAAAGAAAAACAAATGAATGGATCAATTTCACAACACACTGTTCTCATATAAGTACCCTATTTAATACATTGCCCTACAGACAGTGATATGAAGGTGTATCCATTTAAATTGCTTGTGTGGTGGTGGTCTAATATTTTTCTGTGTTTTTATATTTTTAGCACTTTTTTATGTGTGAGGCTAAACGGTAATTAAGAAGTGCAGGATGAAAAGATGGCACAATCAGTGCTGGTACCACCAGGACCTGACAGCTTCCACTATTTCACAAGAGAGTCACTTGCAGCTATCGAACAACGTATTGCTGAAGAAAAAGCTAAGAAGTCTAAAAAAGAACGTAAAGATGATGATGATGAAAATGGACCAAAACCAAATAGTGATCTGGAGGCAGGAAAGACACTGCCATTTATTTACGGCGACATACCTCCAGGAATGGTGTCCGAGCCCTTGGAGGATCTGGACCCATATTATATCAATAAAAAAGTGAGTGTTTCTTAAGACTGCAGTGAACATGTTTCTGTTAGAGATTAAGAGTATTAAAATACTATAGACCCTTTGCAGGACTCCCTTTTTTCCACTACTTTGGGCCCAACCCAGATGTAGTGCTCCAATGGTTGACTTCATTGGCACTGCGTGCAGTAAAATGTGTTTGCAGGATCAGGCCCCTGGTTTGGGTGGTGTGATACACTGTTCGCTTTATTATAATATACTTGGCATTTCACTCTAATTGTAACTGTATGTAAAATCGTCATTTAAGGATGTCAGTGTTTTCATTATGAAACCCACTGAAAAGCTGCCTTGAATGGCCCTCTTGCTCATTTTCTTCACTATTATGTGGAAAACTTAGGTTTTATTCCTGATCTATTCTCTCATTACTTGGGTTGTCAGGGGTGAGGAGTTAGGCAGAGATAGTATATCAGTGTGCTCCTAATGCATTCCTCTTCACCCTGTAATCTCAGAGACATTGTATCTTCTTCCTAGATAATTTGGGTGAAGGACTGTTAGTCTTTGAAGCATATTCCTTATCCAGAATCAGGTTACTGCAATAAGGGGCTCAAAGGAGCGCTTGCAGTCAAAGAGGTAGGGAAATATGGGAAGAGGTAGGGCTCCTTGCAGGAGTACCCATAACATAAAAAAACTCTTTATACTCTTTAAAAATATTTTATTGAAATATGCCATTTTTAATGGAAATATGGAAAGGTAAAATTTTTGCATAATCCTATAATATGTCCCATTGGAGCCAGGCAGAGAAGTACAGAAATACCAGGCCTTTGTGCAGATCGCCCTGGTTTCCTCTGATGTCCCAGATCTTCAAGTTTTGGGCTTTGCACTGTACCTACTCCAAAAACAGAAAAACCTGCCCCATCCCAGGATAAGCCAGAGGAAACTCTGCTAGCTGAAATTCATGGAATTTTCTGTCTTCAGGATTTTTTGCTGTATGTGGAAATATATTCCCCTTGAGTATTAACTAGTACTCTCTAAAAACAAAAACAAAAAAACAACTACTATTAAGAGTGATACATTAGCTGAGCAAACCAAGGAAATATATCAATCCCCATCAATCATTTTCAGTTCTGAAACCACAGCAATATCATAATGAGATGAGCTTAAGACAGATAGAAGACTTAAGAAGAAATATGTGTCTTTATTTGCTCAATGTTGTGTTCTGAAAGTTCACATACTGACAGACACTTCATATTCTGCTTGCCTTACTCAAGTAAGTAGTCCTGCTGAAGTCTGGGAGTAAGGCAAGCAGGATTTGGGGCCAGCTGCTAGTGTTTTTTCCCCCTCAGTTCTCCAGTAATAATGATGTAGGACTCACCGCTGGAGATCTGAAACTTAGCATCAAGATCATTGTGCCTTAGACATCAGAAAAGTAATTGCTATTAATACTGAAAATGGGATAGCCTCTTTCTTCTGATTGCTAAAACAGTTTCAAAATTGCCCATGTGATAGTGATGTTGCAGACCATGTTATTTTTCTGAAGTATGGTGGTTTAAACGCTTTACAAGTTTATGCATTATGATCAGAATTTCTCATAAATTTTCACTGATTTTCCTTGAGTTTTGTACTTTTAGATCAGGTTCCATTTTCATTTTCATAAATGTGTGTCAATGAGCCTGCATCACACAAATGATGGCTTCAATAAGAATTTGTCTGAGTAAGGGCAGTAGAAAACGTGTGAGGAGCTCAGGATTTCAGCCAGAATTTCCTGAAATAAAGGGATGAAGTTCCAAGGGAAACAAGGAGAGAAGGGGGCAAAAGTGTGGTGAAAAGCAAATGAAATTCCAAGGGTACTGAGGACCAAAATAAAGCCTCGTTAAGGTCTAAAATGTGGTTCTGGGAGTCAGCAGCGGGCAGGGGGTGAGAATCAGTGTGTGGTTTAAAAGTTGTAGCATTCATTCTGGTGGAGGGAAGTACTATGCCTCCAGGGATACAGCAGCAGCATTTACTATACCTGTACATAAAGCAAAGCATGTCCTCCTTAAGTGCTGCCCTCCTCTCCTAGCTGATGCAGCGGGGCCACTGGCCATACTACTGTCTTATGTCCCTTTTGATATGTCCAGTGCTGCCTGCAGTGCAAAGAAGTCCCTGTTACAGTCAAGGAGCACAAACATTCATATTATGGCTTTCTTCTCCATGGGGAGGAAAGCAGCTCAAGCCTCTCCCACCTCTGAGCTTGCCTGAGCAGAGACCGTCTTAGGTTGGCTCCATGTGTATGTGGAATATAAATGTTTCAGAGACTCAGGTGTATAAGGTACGTTGAATAAAAGGTTGAGCCTTCTTGGCTTCTCTGGTTTTAAGAAAAGATTTTCATTCAAAGCTGTTCCATTTATAAATGCCATTTTAACACAATCAAAATATATAACCTATTACTGACGCTGTGGGCAGATGGTAGGAATTGAAATACAAATCTTCACTGAATTCTGTGTGTTAATTAGGTAGCACAGATAAGCTTTTAAATCATTAAATATGAAAGGTAGATGTATTCATGGCCAAAAAAGCCTCATGATAAATATGAAAAAGAATAACAAATTTTAGTTCTATTTTTTTAGTGAAAAAAATTTAACCTTGTGCATGAGAGGAAAATCTGAACATGCCATATCATGTCCATACAGTGTGTGGCTTTTAAAAGCTCGAGGCCTCTTTTTCAAGGGCACTGAGCATCTTCCATTCCATTTATTTTGATGGGATATAAGGTTTACAAAACACCTTTGAAAAATCAGGCCATCAGTGTTTATCACTCCACCTCACTATTTCCTTATATGGGTGATACCAGAATTACTGCAGATACCTGGTGTAGCAAATTCTGAAGTTTTAATGAATGTATAAAAATTATGTTTAGCATATCTTAATATGCGTTATAAGATAGGCACCAACAGGGGTGAAAGTAACTTAAAGGACTTGCCAGTACACCAGAGTCCTGAGCAGAGGGCCTGGCCTCAACCAGAAGAGGAGGGGCCTTTAGAGCTCCGGGCCTTTTAAATCGAGATTTAAATGGCCTGGGACTCCAGCTGCGGTAGTGGCGGCTGGGAGCCCCGGGCCCTTTAAATCACATCCGGAACTACCAGCTGCTGAGGCGGCTGGGAGCCCCGGAGCTTGGGAGCCATTTAAAGGGCCCAGGGCTCCAGCTGCCGCTACCGCAGCAGAGCCCCCACCCTTTAAATCACTGCCCGAGCCCTGCTGCTGGAGCCCTGGGGTAGCAGCGGTGGCCCGGGGCTATGGCAATGATTTAAAGGGCTCGGGGCTCCCGGCCGCTGCTACCGCAGCGAAGCCCCAGGCCCTTTAATTTGCTGATGGAGCCCTGAGGGCTCCCAGCTGCTGCCGCTACCCCGGGGCTTGGGCTGCGGGGCTCGGGCAACAATTCAAAGGGCCAGGGACTCTGGCCACCGCTACCACCTCCAGCCCTGTAAATCGCTGCCCGAGCCCCCTGCCGGAGCCCCCAGGGTAGCAGCAGCGGCCAGGGTTTCCGGTGGTGATTTAAAGGGCCCGGGGCTTCCAGCTGCTGCTACCATTGGGGAGTCCCGGGCCCTTTAAATCACTGACAAAGCCCTGGGGGTTCCCGGCTGCTGCCACTACCCCAGGGCTCGGGATTCTGGTGGAGATTTAAAGGGCCCGGGGCAGTAGCAGCGGCCGAAGCCCTGGGCCCTTTAAATCGCCACCCGAGCCCCACTGCCAGAGCCCTGGGGTAGTGGCGGCGAGGCTCTGGCGGTGATTTAAAGGGCCCAGGGCTCCAGCCGCTGCTGGGAGCCCCAGGCCCTTTAAATCGCCTCCTGGGGAAGCCGGTCCAGTACACAAATGGTGTGTACACTTAGAGCTCACTTTGTCCTCTGTCAAATAAGACATAGAATATTTATGTTTTCTAAATAATGCTGTTGAAATGTTTTAATACAATTCTATTTGTAGAAATTCAGTTGGAGGCTGTCCTGCATGTTGGGTGAACTACACATGAAGTTGTTGAGTCTGCAGAGGTGTAAATGAGAGCAGAATTCAGCTAATTGTAACTAATGATGAAGCACAAGTGATGCAGAATATGAGAATCTACACTGTACATATTTTCTAAATTTTCATTTTGTTTTCTTTTTCAGACTTTTATAGTATTGAATAGAGGGAAGGCAATCTTCCGATTCAGTGCTGCCTCTGCCGTGTACATGTTAACTCCCTTCAATCCTCTTAGAAAAATAGCTATTAAAATTTTGGTACATTCATATCCTTTTTGAAGTGGTTGGTTCAAAATATTAATGAACAAAATGCTGCTTTTATTTTAGTATTTAAATCATTAGTTGGTAGGCCATCCCAGGACAGGTAAGATCCACAATGCTCTTTCCATCCTCTTTCTGCTGCTTTCTCTCATCTCTCTCCCTCCCCTTTCTCTCGTTTCTGCAGCTGTTCTGGTGAGATCAGAAGCCACACAGCCAAATCCTCTCCCTCTTCTTTTCCCCTTACCACACCTTCCTTATTTTTTCTCCTTCCATCTCTGGTATTACCCACTTATTTTACTTGCCCATTCCCCTCTCCAGTAATTTTCCCCACATGCTCCAGGTATGTTGCTTAAAATGTTTTACAATTCTTAAGTGACACTTTGCATTAAAAAAAATGTAATCTTTGATCCCCGATTTTAGTTTGCATGAACAGCTGCAGAAAATATTTCTCTACCCCTTTTCATTTTCTGATTCAGATCACAGCTGTAGTAGCGTAGGTTAATAGGGTTCCTTGAAATTCTGAGTTTTATTATACATTATCAGTCCTATATGTATTTTTATCATTCTGTTTTTTTCTGGCAACCATTGCCATTTTATGTACTTGTATTTCTGGAGGTACTTTAATTTTAATCTTCAAGTAGCTCATGAGCATTCTGACTAGTGCACAGAAAACCTCAAAACTGAATGATAGTAACACAATATATGACTCTGTCTCACTTCTATGATAAACATAAATCATATGAATCTAGTAGTAACTATGGATCCGATCCTCCAAACACTACCTTGAGTAGTGAGTGCCTTGACATCAGTGGCTCTACTCAAGGTAGTAAGCAAAGTGCTCAATGTGTTTGCAAGATTGAACCTTATAGAGTTAAACTTGAGTCCTCTATCATCAGAGCCCTGAAGCGTGTGCATATCATTACTCGCATTGTTTCTCAGAGTTGTGTTCTACATATTTGGAGATGGTCACATGATTTTAAAAGGACAGTCTTTTATTAAAGCTGAAATGCAATTGGCATAACAAACCCAGTAACGTCAGTAACTTTTAATGTGTTCAATGCTCCTAAAAACAAGAGGTACTATGTCAATTATTAAGTACTGTAAGATCCCTCGGTGTCTAGTTTTTGTACTCCCATTCCAGGTTGCAAGGTAACTAAATACTGTGCTGGTAATATCACACCCCTCAACACACTATGGAATTCTCCTGGATCATGGAGCTGATCTTGGTGCGGGTAGTTGGGATCACACATTATGAAAAAATTGGGTGGGCACATGTCTTACAGTGTGGGAAAGACATGCCCCTGTTATTGCTCCATTCTGCTCTGATGGTGAGACACTTCTCAGGAGCAGCAATACGGTAGGGGCATGCAGCTTTTAGGAGGCATTTCTATAAAAATCATTTGTAAGCCCTGTGCAATATATTAATGTATAAAATTATTAGAATACATGATTTTAGATTAGTTGAAAAACTCCTCAGAGTTGCTGCCCCTTGTCTTCTGCTCCTTTTAAATTTGAATTTCTGTGGTATCACAGCAAACCGTATTCTGAGAAGAAGGGATCTTTCAAATATTGCAAACTAGCAGAATGATTTGGAAGGGGTGCTATGTGCTGCCTTGGCATGATGGTTTGGAGGGCAGAGATATAAAATGTTGCAATAAGAAAGTACTCTACAGATTGCGATTTTGTAGTTGCTATTCTATTCTATTCTATTATTTATATTGCAAAGCCTTGTAAAACCTTTAATATAAGGGAAGAAAATTAAAATAAAGGTACTTACTGACCTCTTTTCACACCCTTCAGTCTCCATGTTTTAAACAGATTTCCCTGGTGGATGAGATCTTACCAGGTGGATTGCATACTGAGACATCGCACAGAACAGGAGCCAATGATATATATTATTTGTAGGAAAGTGAAACTATAGACTAGTTAGCTATATGCTACATGTCTTCCTTATCCTAATTATTTGATGCATTCATGTGCTTGTTTTTAATAACTCTTTCAAGATTTTCTTTAAAACCATATATCGTGCACACTGTTCCTCTGTCCTCTTGGATATTTATATTTTTACAATTTTCTATTGCTAAGCAAACCACAGACAAGGGCATTATTATGCATTTTATTTCTACATTTACAATTTGATTTTAAGGAAAGTGGGTGGAATGATGGGAACTATGACATCAGAATTATGGTTGGAGTTATAACACTGTCAGTCACCCTTTCGTTAACCACAGTACGTTCTAGTCATGAAATAGTTTCCTGATAGCAACATAGTTGAGATTATTTTGTGGCTGCTTGGTAAGTGGAATTTTAGTTAAATGAATTTAAAAAGTAAATTATTTTGAAAAAAAAACTTCAATTCTTATACTAAGTTTAATGTTTTAACTCAGTGCTCTAGGGGCAGGTCTTCACTACGGGGGGGGGGGTCGATTTAAGATACGCAAATTCAGTTACGCGAATAGCGTAGCTGAATTCGACCTATCGGAGCCGACTTACCCCGCTGTGAGGACGGCGGCAAAATTGACCTCCGCGGCTCCCCGTCGATGGCGCTTACTCCCACCTCCGCTGGTGGAGTAAGAACGTCGATTCGGGGATCGATTGTCGCATCCC